ATTTTATTGTAATTACATCATAATTGATTCATTGACCTTTTACGGATGTACATACATGTATCTATATAGATATATCGAATTTCTCGATTAACCATAGAAATACAATATTAATAAAGTAAACAAGAAGTATCGTAATATCAACCTTTATACGATAATATATAATTAAGTTAAACAATTATGAAATATTATATCCATAAAATTTAAGTACGTTTATTATAATTACATGCTGATGATAATGATATTAGATTATCTGTGTACATATGCACGTGCGATCTCTTGGCAAACTGCCAAAATGCGATAATAATACAGTTCAGCGGGTAATATATTGCTTTATTTTTTCTCATTATAATGTAAACAAATTAAAAGCAGTTCCGAGCTACGATATAACGGTAAGATGTTCGCGTTATTTTTATCTTTTTTTATTTTAGTACATTCTGCATCACTATTTTTTACGTTAGCGAACAAACAAGGTTGATTAGTAATTATTTGATGGCGGTCTTATTATTTGTATTATCCTTGAAGATTCTCATTGCATCAAAAGTTTACGGTAATTCCGCTGGTAGATGGAACGGGTAACGTCCAAAATTATTCTGCTTCCATGATATTGTTCCCGAGGATGAAACGCAATTTTCCCTCGCGGGAGTTGGGCGAGAAGAAGCGGGGGATAAATAATTTGCTGATTACACCGCATGCGATTTCCTCCTGGCGTACGTTATGCACAATTTTGTTGGGGTGATATATTTTCCTTTAGGGCATTAAATCACGGTATACGCGGGGAAAATGTATCGTTGCGGAAACGTTGCGGAGAAAGAAATGCGAACTGAATCCGGAGCGATATCGCTCTTGGCTCTTTTTCCAAAGTAATGATCGATCACGACACATGCAACAGTTTTTCGAAGGGTGTGCTCTAACAGCGGAAAGTACAATTAATTGTAACAGATGAAGTGGTACGCAGCTTGGGCATTTCGAAGCCCTCAGCTTGCGTCGTTTTTATCGATGGGAGATTGAAAGAAGATATATAATCTGAGTTTATGCGTTGTTCCACATATACACACAATGGATATGTATAACATTATTGTAGATATATTTGTTTATTGTTGTACCGCGAGATATTGTGTCAATTAGCCGTCTATACGTAGGAGGATGTGGGCTTAAGCAATATAATATATTTTATGTAATATATTTTATATACTTAATCTTTAATATTCTTAAAATTGTTTAAATTTAATATTTCATTTCTCATACATACATTTCAATTACGTTTCTAATGTAATTTTAACAAACCTATTGCCTCGACATTAAAATAAAAAAAATAACTTACTGGCCGATGCGCAACAACGGAGTTGTAAGTTGTTGCAACCCTGCGTGGATCTGTAACATGAAAATATTTTTACATTAAAGCAGGTCGATAAGATATTCGATAATTAACGCGCCCGTTAAATATTTAAAACGTTAAATATTTATCTCAACAGATATGTCTGATTTTAAAATCCAGTCAAGAAACAATCCAGCCGCAAGCGGTTGCACATTTCTGCATTAATTCGTTCATAAAATCAATTCGCGAAAAATTGTGCGAGTAACAATTGCGAGCGTGCGAATAAGAGAGAGACGCGATATTTGTGACATAATATTTCTCCTCGCATATTCCGAAGATCGACTTCCGAAATTGCGAAATTGCGCCGGAGTTAAATCTCGAACGAGTAATGCGAATATCGCGTAATGAGCAAATCAAGTCGCGCTTGAGAAAATGACGGAATCCGTCACAGCACAGCAAAAATAATAAATGAATCAGTTACTCACCCCATGGTTGCTCCGCCGTTGCCCGATGCCTCCCAGGCCTCTTCCTCCTCTCCACCGTTGTCGCCGCATCTCCGGAGGCGCACTCACTCACGACTCCGACGCGAAAATATCGTCACTTATGGTGTCGCGCGACACTTTGCACGGCACTCCCGGTATTAATCTCGCGACGCGGCGCGTACTTTTAGTTACACGGCAACGGAAAAATTACAGCGGAGAAGCTACGAACGATCCGCTGGACGCCCGTGACGCTTGACGACCCGTCCCGCAGGTAGATGGCGGAGAGAATTTTTTGTAAATCGCGCAGCCAACTTCACTCGCCACTCTCGCCTGAAGCAATCGTCGCGTCGCCGTCGCGAGAACGCTACACTTGCTGCTTGTGAAACGATTTCGGTTGACTACAATTAAATCATCGATTTATGAATATTCACATTCGTGTCTATCTCCTACGATCGTCCATATAACGCCAAATATAAAAAAAAGTATACAAAGTTAAACGTACGGCGTTAATAGAGACTGTGATCTGTGATCGCTAATTACACACGTCGCGGGCGTCGCAGCGGCATTCGCGGCACTCGCGGCGTTAAGGCCATCGCACACGTAAAATCATATGGCTGCATACGCATAGCATAAGACCGTCTGGACCAATGAGCATCCAGCATGAAATACTTACTCGATTTACGGCCATCGCACACAAAATTGTACAGGCTGCATAAGCATGAGTGGAGTGAGTAATTCTTATTTATTTATTATTTTACTGTGCTGTGGCGAATTCCGTCACTTTTTCAAGCGCGACTTTTGATTCATTCGATCGTTAAGTGATACTCGCATTACTCGTTCGAGGTGCAATAGTCCGGCGCAATAGTCGCAATTTCGGAATTCGATCTCTGGGATATGCACGAGAAACATTACGTTGCGCGAATGTCTCTTCTCTCGATCTTTTAAAGCCATTCTACAATGCATACATCGCACAAACGCTCCGTCCTCCGTCGCCAGTCGTGAACGATAGCAACTGCTAATTGAGAAGTGCTATTTCTGATTTGCGCTCGTCAGCTGTGGTTGTCAAAAGAGAGTTGGCGAACTTTTAACTTTCCGACGACAGCAACTGGCAGTCGCCAACCGAAAATTAAAGCACTTTTTAACATAGCAATTGTAAACCTTCACGACTGGAGCCGGCGACGCCGCGACGTCGTTATGATCCGTCTGACGCAAAATCCTCTGTAATCTCGATTATTATATCCGAACATGTTTATCCACGTATCCGCTAAATATCGCCATTAATAGTGTAAAATAAGTAATCACGGTAATACGTTCTATGTGCGGGTGTTTCCGGGTTATATTTAGAATATATTAAATGACTGTATATATTAACGCACATACGCGCGCTATCAACCGTTACGGCGATGCAAAAAAAAATAGGACACATAAAATAACGAACGTGACCGTTAGATATGCGGAGGAATCGAAAACCTTAGAACATATAAACCTGGAAAGGGAATGAAGAATGATGCGAGAGAGAATCACGTTTTATAAGGAAAGAAAAAGATGGATTTAGTAACCTTCTTCCGCAATGCGCAAACGCGAATCGCGCCGTAATGCTAGGTCTACAATACGAGTCGTAAAGTCGTGAGTCGTAAGAATTGACCAATCACAATCAAATTTGAGGAGAATAATCGACTGTGATTGGTCAATTCTTGCGACTCACGACTTTGCGACTCGCATTGTAGACCCAGCATAACAGTATGGTGAGTGCAGGTGAGTGTAGGTGAGTGTCGGTGAGTGTCGGTACTGTCGGTACTGTCGGGTGTCGGTCAGTGACGGTGAGCCGGGTGAGCAAGCGACGCTCGCTGAGCGTAACGTCATCTCTGCGCCTACGCATTGCGAGCAAAGTTATCAATCTACCTCTCTCTTTCTCTCTCTCTCTCTCTCTGGCTCATCTGGCTGCGGTAGTGTGGTCCATTTGACGTTTGCTACAAATGCTTTGGAGCGTCCTTCTTCTCCTTTCTTCAAATGCTTCGAAGCATTTGTAGCGTCAAGTGGACCGCAGCTTCTCTCTATCTCTCGCACCCAACTTGGACACAGATCGACAGGTCTTTTCCACGGGAAGCATCAGGAAGCATACAGACAATTCTTCTTCCTTAGGTTATATTCAAGTATATATGTTCTAAGTCGAAAACACGTCGCTTAACCTCAGAACGAATGGCGAGCAACCAGAGGGAAGCGGTGCAGATATATTCCGAAGGTATACTCGCGGGGACCGAAATTGCTAAAATTCGATGCGCGATAAGTCGACGTGACGCATAATGTATTCGTTGTTGGCATCCGATTTGGCTTCTTCTTCTTCGTATAAAATGGCCTTCAAGCAGTGCTGCTCCGAAATCCGATTTGGCTAAAATTACTCGCCTGAAATTTTGGTGGGCGTAATAAACAAGAGGCTGTACGCGCAAACAATAATAAATTGGGAGCGCGAAAGAAATAGGAGTATCATATACCTATGGCCTCACCTGTCGGAGGCTTCAAACGTAATCTTTCGTCGCTCGCCGATCGGATTGTTTGTTTCGCATACTATCGGAGTGACTCTCGAAATCCGTTTACGATGTCGAGCTTGCGAAGACGCGCCCGCGAGAAGCCCCGCAATGTCTCTCAACAAATATTATATAGAGATATACATTTCTGCGTATCGGCGCGAGTAAAATTCGCTTTTATCTCTAGAATATCGAAAAGTACAGTTTGTTTGAGTGTCATGAGCCTACCGGCGCGATCCTACGCGAAATATTATTTTTCGTCGTAGAAAGAAACGCAGGTTTATTAAATTAGAGTTTTACGCGTGAAATCGCGCACTTCGCGGCCCGCTCTCTGATCTCCCAATCTTTTTTTTTTTCTTCTTTGATCTGACTTGATTTTCCCCCGTGTCCCCGGGACGAGATACGCGTCGATGTATGCACGTGTCTATGCTGTTGTACATATATTTAATGTATACGTGTGTATTGAGGACGTGAGGACGGAATGAGAATCACGTTTTGTAGTGTTACCGAGCTGTGCCACACGCCTGCATGCATACTTACCGCAAAGCGTAGTAAACGCGCTCAACTTTTTGATAAATGATTCGTTAGCAAGGCCGTTTTAAAACCCTGACCCTCCCGATAACACGAGCGGAACAGTGAGACGTCGATGATGAACTGTGCTTTTTCTTTCGATTGCAGCCATGGCGAGGACCTCATCGTTACACCCTTCGCACAGATTCTTGCTTCTCTGCGCTCGGTCCGGAATAATTTCTTGTCGCTCACGAATGTACCGACGAACAAGTAAGTAGATTAACTTTCGTCGCTTAATATCACGCGGCTGGCTTGAGTTGCAATTGATATTTATCGTTTGTTTTCTTTGCAGATCACGAAGGAGTAGCGGCCAACAGGGCAGTAGTACGCCACAGCCACGGATTTTGGCGCCAGGAGGTAAAAAGATAACGCAGTATTACAATTTTCGCAACGCAATTAGCTTCGCATTTTACGTTATTTCCACTTTTGATGGATTTTGAAATTTATATATTTACGCACACAGAACGCTAGTACTTCATTTAAAGTATTTGGCGATTTAATCTTTATTTAATCTGATTTAATACATTGAAACGCAATAATTAATTACTTTTTTCGATTTATCATTAATACGCGGGAAATTTCGTTACCTCTCTCTAAATAGGATTTAATGATCATTGTTATATAACTGAATAATTTCTGTTAATTTCTATTTGTTTTTATCTTTATTATACTGTTCGTGAAATTGTATCACATAATCCTCTGTATTTATTAAACATTTATCACTTTACATGATATCTTTCAGGAATTTTTTATCATGTGTAATCGAAACTTGAGCCCTTCAATTTTTCCTGAAAGAACTCTATTTTCTCTTTTCATCAATATCATATCAAGTCGTAACTTCATCTCCTTTTAATTCTCGAAGTATATATTCTAGTAAGAATTTTATATATGCCTTGTTTCTGGGTTATATCAACTATTATATATAGCTATTCGTTCCGTGTATGACTTATTGAAGGAAGTCATAAAGCTCTTCATCAATTCCATTATGTCTCCCTTCTCTGAAGGAATACTTTCATTATTATAACCGTCGAACGTATCTATGTTCTCAGTCTTTTTGCGAAATTTCCGTTTTCTTTTTATTTCTAAAATAGGTACTATTTATTTTCGGAAGTGCTATTTGTTCTGTGTAAAGCGCTTAAAATATCTCATACATTTTTGCAAAATTGTATTAAGCTGTGAAAATAAAACATAGCTTCCGGAACGCTTCTTTAATCTCGATTACATTTGTATTGGAGTCTTCTCGGTAGATAAAATCTTTTGAGCGTTGACGTAGTGCCTGTTAGGAACAGAAAGACAGAAAGTGAATGCGAACACTCTTTGATATTTAATTTTAAATTTACTTCTTCGGATTTTTCAGAGGAGCCCTTCATGAAGCTGGCTGTAGAAACGATAGAGGAGCTAGACTGGTGCTTAGACCAGTTGGAGACCATTCAGACTCATCGGTCCGTGTCGGACATGGCATCCCTGAAGGTACGACCTTCCGTTTATATTTCTTCCATCTCTTTCTGCAACATGTTCTCTCAACGCTCGATTCCTCGTATATCTTGCAAATCTCAAAGAGGTTCTGTCTCACGTTATAGCCGTCCATATATAAAATGTCTCGCGAGGAATCCGTCAGACTTTAGGAATGCGTTATTCGAATGATTTTAAGCAGAAGGAGTCATACAAATGCGATTCCATCGGAAAGGTTGCACGAGATATTCTTCGAATAAATTCTTTGTATTCTTAAATAAATTTCCTTTTGGAGACAGTCACTGAAAAAAAGGAAACTATATTTAGTACAAAGCCAGAAATTTGAGTTCTGTTACTTTTTCTTATTTGAAATTATTTAAATAACGTAAATTCTAAATATATTATTTTTCTGGAGTATACAGTCAAAACATCTTTACACATTTTGCTACGAATTTCGTACATATTATTATTTCTAGATTTAATTATATTATATATCTCAATTTATGTAAAAATTAATTTGCATCATAACGATGCATTTCATATTTCTTTTTATTTAACATATATAATCACTAATAAATCGGTTTTTTCTGATAACGCTATACAAAGAAATATGGATAATTACTAATAAATACAATGTCATACATACTAATTTTTAATTCTGTTCATCTTACGAAAAAGAATAATAAACAATTCTGTTTTATTTACGCACTCGTGCAAGATTATTCGATTATATGAGCAGCTTTATATGAAAATTATGAGGTCGCTAGGACAGAAGCAAAGCCTTTATTTATATCATAAAGAAATTATCTTGTACATCTCTCAGTTCAAATATCAACTAACGATAAATTTGCAGTTGTGCAAATTAAAGAATCCGCTTTCACATTAATCGCGGCTGTATTTATTTGTTGATAATAGACACTTATCACCGGACAGAAACAATCGTTTCTCGATCACTATGTTCGACATCCTAGCCGTGCAATTTCCGCGCTGATCGTTAATCGTTCCGCGTTCCGGTCGCGAGAATTTCCAATTTCCATGACCGCGTTAGTAAAGTCGGCGCGAAAACTAGATTATTTGAGTGCGAGCGTGACTATTCCACCTTCGAGCTACAAGTGACAGCGAATAGAATCGCAATTTTATATTAGCGACCATATAAAATAACCTGTAATGGTACAATAGGATGCGAGAGAAATTGGAAATCTAACCGTGAACATTAGCGAGAGGGAAATTATTTTTGTCATTTTTTTTTCTTTCTTTTAAGTTCGTGTTTTATTGAGAGGTCTTTCAAGACTACGTAAAATTTGCCGACAAGATAAAATTTCGTGAAGACTTGGCGTAAAACTTTTCTCATTTATCTCACACAGATTGGAAGTCATCCTCGCGTGAATGTGAATAATCTTTTATGCGCTTGGAATATTTATTGCGAGATTTGACGTACTTCAATTGGGTCTTATTCCTTTACGTCGCGCGCAAGGATTCAGCGATGAAAGCGAAAGAATGTTGCTCTTGGCTATTTCGTATGAACACTCTTTCTAGGAAGATCTTCCTAACAAGATCTTTTTGAGACTCCTTGTTGAATAGCTTCAGCTTTAGCCAAGATCCAACGTGTAATTAAATTTCTTTAATGGGTTAAAAATAAAAATACAGTTTATTAAAATTTAAAGTAAACGTGACGTCGCAATTTTCCGGAATGCAAATCCACTTGGTTTACTCTGATAAAAATGTCGTTTGTTTTTTGCACTTTTCGGTCGCGCAGTTTTGCTTTCTTTATCAGTATTAAATCGATATTTTTTTCAACGTTATTTTTCTTGATTTATCCGGAAACCTCACGTGTAGCCCTGTGTAGACATTCAATTAATTTAAATTCTTTTTAGAAAATTTATTTGAAAATTAAAATAAAAATATTGAAAAGTCCAAACACACACAAAGAGCTGCGTAAATACTTTACCTGATGTCTATTATAAAATTCATCGTATATTTCTAAGATGACTCGTTCGCAAAAAGGGTTTGGTACTCTTTGTACCTTTATAAGGACATAATATCGACTTAGCGTAACATGCGTAATTGAAAGAGCTGACAGCGAAAATCTCATTTTTCCCCCGAAGTCGCTATTATTCCTCAGTAATGGAAAAGTTATTAAAGGTTTTCCGCCTTTGAACTTTCTCGCTGTTCTTTAATCATCGTGAAATTAGCGAATTTTCTGTCGCTCCTTATAGTTCCCGCTATTTGCGACAAAGTATTAATATGCAATAAGCTTCGTAGGCTCTTTAAACTCGTTATAAACTACTTGCGGTACTTGCGTAAGCGTTAGACTCAAGCCCAAAGTATTAACGATAATGAATATTGTAAATAATTATCATATTTGTGGAGTAGTGCAAAATATAGAGTAATTTTTTTACGTATTTTTCCGGAAAATGATTATGCTTTTTCTATTTCGTCGTCTCTATCGTTCATTCTTGCTACCAAGCGTCCTTTACTTCAGGTAATTTGTTAGAATCGCTCGTGTAAAAGTGTATTCTTTAGTAAGTTTTTTAAATGTAATTACAAGCTATATAGCGTGGAAATATAGAACGTAACAAAGCGCTCCTTCTTCTTACGGTGTTTTGCTAATTATCGCGGCCTTTCTTCTCGCGTATCGCAACCCGAATATCTCATGTTTATTCTCATCTCATGAATTATTCATTTGCATAAACGTAAGCGCGGGTCTTACCGAGCGAAATGCGTACCATTTTCAGTTGTTATATGATCCCGGCTATTACGTCCGTGGTCCAATACTAACGTGCATAATATCTTGACGTTACGTCAACCCAATACTTTCTTCTCGCCAACAAAAGGAACGTCCATTTGTTTTGAGCACATATGACTCACATAAGAATCCCGGTGCTCCTTGTTTGTCGAGGTGACGTCCACGTAAATGTGCTCTGAAAGCAAGATGATATGTATATCAGCTTAGCGAGAAAGGAAAGTCCAGACGTTGATAAATTAACGCAATCTTTACTGGGATGAGATAGAAAGTTTGTTATTCTTTATAATTTATTATTTAGAAATCAATTATTCTTTTGAAAAATAAATGTTTAAAAATTAAACTAAATACTTGAGAATATAAACTTCTTTTACGTCAATTGCCAATGGCGCATGTCAGCATTTTAATGAGACAATTTTTAATATATACTTTTAATATACGTCAAGCTAAAATGCTTTTAATAGAAACTTTGACATGCTATTAACAATAACGAAGAGAATGATTTTTAAAAATTGTTTTTTAACATTTTTTTTTGTTTCCTAATATACGGCGCTTTACTTTTATGAATGAAAACTGTGTCAATTCATCACGCTGCTGCTTTCAATTTTTGTTGGAAAAATTGAACTACGGCGCTCTTTATTTATTGAGACCTATATCTATAACTTCACTTTACTATTTTATCCATGCTTTTACAAAGAGGAAAAATTGTGTTGTATTTATTTAACAAATAAACGACTATTGGAAAAATAGGTATTTGAAATCATTAATTTTAATGAAATGTCATGTGTACGCGAGATTGAAAGGTAGAAGCTTCGAATCTACAAAATAATGGAGTCCTTGGCACGCTTAACTTATTTACAGCGCATTTTCATTAACCTTGTCAATTCTAATTTTAACAGTATTTCTAACAACGCGATATCGCGTTTATACTATGCAGCCATAACTTAATTCAGTTATTTATTAGTCGACGATTTTTTTTAAACAAATAGTATCTATTAATATCAAATTTCCATAACATATCTCAGTTTTTCTTTAACATTCAATTTTAATGAGATTCGTGTGCATTTCTCTTTTAAAAAGTATAGTGTATCGCTTAATTACATTTTTGCGACTGTCACATATACGATTTATAATAAAAATGTATTAGAGTCGAAAATGTTGCTATATTTGAAGAAAAATAAGTTTTGACGTTATATGAATTAAATTAGAAAATTAATATTATCTAATAAAAATCTAAATGCTACTATCGACTAAAGGAACAATTAATCTTTTGTGCAAAATATATTACTCTCATATTTCTAGCTGTGCTATTTACTTTTTATTTGCTATATTCTTGTTTTTACAGATTTTTATGATATTCTAGAAAAATTATTGTTCCAAGATGTGAACTATTTTATTTTAAAGAAATAATAATTTATAATTTTTTTTATTTTGATCGAGCAAAAAATAACTTGAACTCTTCTTCCAAATTGACACATTAGTTTTTGAATTTCTTATACTTGTCTTCTTTTATATATTTTACTCGTTTTATTAAATTCGCTAGGTCACGTTTTTCTTTTTTCAAACGCACTACCTTGACCCGACTATAATATGGTAGAGAAATCGAAACGTACGCTCCTTAATTCCGATTAATAGCGGGGACTTGCGAATCGCTAATAGCGGACAAGGTTGTCTCCCTCTCTCACCGGAGTGGAATTTTTCGTATTTATTAGAACTTCGTCTAAAATCGTCTGTTCAGGAAAGCGAACGCGATAAATTGAAGCGCCGGGGTTTCGTCCGGGATTTATACCGGAGAACGTGGCTCACGTGACCGAGTCATTGAGGCTTTGGTTACACACGGCGGCCGATTTCTCGTCCAGATCGACGGGAGTGGTGCCAAGCGCTCGCGTGTAAATCCATCGATTCCGTGAGGCTGGCGCTGCATAGGATCACTTCAGCCGTAATTCATTCCGTTATGTGCATAATCGAAATTCTCATCGCGGATATTCTAACCGTGTTTTAAAAATCCAACGACACCGCTTATTGTCGTTAATATCACGGTGTACTGATAAAAAACCTATACCTTAAGAATTTTACTATTTTGTTATCTTTAACATCACGCGAATATGACGTGACGACGAGAAACAGAATCTTCGTCGCGTTCTTTGTTAAAACCGCTCACACCAGTCTTTAATACATGCACTTACGAAAATAAAGTCTCCGGAACTTGTACAGGTTTCGTTAGACGGGATTTCCCAATCGGTGCCGCTTGCGAGAATCGCCAAAATTGTGCTGCTTTGAAGCTCTTAAGTAAATCGATCGCCGCTTTCGATCGATTTACTTAAGAGTTTCAAAGCGGCACTTATGCACCGTGCTGAAATACATTCTCCTCTGCAGATTTATGCCGATTTATTTATGCGTCTGGCGTGAAGTACGTTTACAGTTTGTTTTCACACTTTGCACACGTATATGCAGCTCCGAAATTTCGCCTCCGAGGAAGTGCCCGCCGACCAACCGAAAAACAGCGACTTCGTGGTTTCCACGTATCTGCATTTTCATGTACTATTTTTCCCCTCGGAGATTCGGCAACTCTCCGAAATTCCCATGATTTGCATTTACCGCGACGCGTATGATCGTATTCGTATTCGTAACGACGTACTCTTCGAAATGGCGCTCGTAAAGTTTACTCCAGTTTAACGGTAATCTCGTGAAAAGGTCAAGATAAAAATGAGTTTTACCCCATCGCCGTAGCTCAACGCGCATATCCGAATATTCCGAAACTAGCTAGCTTTCTTCCAGGGAAAGCGAAAAGGTTTATGGCGATATTGTATGCAAATGGTCATTTTTTATGATCTGATCGAACTCATCCTAGCGAGGTTTCATGAGAGAGAGAGAGAGAGAGAGAGAGAGAGAGAGAGAGAGAGAGAGAGAGAGAGAGAGAAAGAGAAAGTGAAAAACAGTTGATTTACCAAGAACTGATTCCCTGGGGAAGGATGCCTTTGTAAGCGTCGTTGCCTCCTCAAAGAAAATCGATACTTTGAATTAATTGACCTACATCGACAGCGAGAACTCGTGACCTCATCGTTCGATGCGAATAAACCGATTGGTTACACACGCGGTTACCATGTTACAGCATGCCGTAACAAATATACGCTAATAATGAAATCAACGTGTATAGTTTAACGTATATAATTGAACATGGTATATCTGTACCTCAGAGATAACGAATCGTAGCTCCATTATTAGGAATTTAGAGAAAACAGAATTTAAATTTTATTAAACACGAAACATTTATTGTTATCGACTAACGATTGGCAATATATACAAAACGCTGCGATGTTTCGACCCTTGGATTGGGCCTTTTTCAAGCAATAATTGTTTATTCCGCCAATGAGTATCAAACACGAAACATTTATTGTTATCGACTAACGATTGGTCGTTAAATTTTATTATTTTTATTTAAATTTCCAATACGACTTTTTCAAAAATATATTGTATTTTAGGAATTAATAATAATGGACATAAGACTCTTTACTATTGTATAATTTTAACTTCTGGTATATTGGAAAAAGTATTAACTCTAATTCTGACAAAAACTGGAGAGACTCTAAGGTACAGATATGTATTTTCAAGGCGTTTATATGTTTTATATGACGTTGTAATACTTCTCTTTTGATTTCCTAATATAATAAAAGACAAAAATCTCGAGATATTTATTTCTAATTATTAACTTTTATTTATTTACTTATTATACCGAGCTTATCTTACTCTTCATTTAATAGTTTATCTAATATGTTTGTGAGAGAATACGTAGTTTCTAATTTAATAAATTATTAAAATTAAAAGATGCTAATTTTATTATTTTATTTTATAACTCTACGATGAACTTGCTGCGGCGAAACTATCTTTAATACGAGTACATTACCACGGTGCTCCGTTATTAAAATGCCGCTATGCTATGACCGCCGCAAATGTGCTCTGCTATAATATGAACGGTAAAGCAAACTAGAAAATTTTCCATCGTCATCGGCCGTCTGTAACCCAGCATTAATCTACCTTTTTCATTTTCGAAATGTTCGCGCCAAACATTTACTCGTGTTTTTCGCACTCAATCTCGTCCGTTTTCACAACGATTTGAACCAATTATTACCGTCCACGGTCCGTTGCGTAAAAAACGTCTGTCTCACTCGTTTTATTTTCGTCATTTATCGGTCGGACGTGGCATGCGAGGAGTTCGCTCGCTGGTAAGAACTAGTATTGACTTGTTCAAGTCGAGACCTAAGTGGACTTGTGTATAGCCAGATTATTAGCACAACGCCGTACTATGTATTCGTCGTGGAAAAAAATTCAAAGCTTCGTAAATTTCATCGTGCCGATAGAGACCGCGCAAGTTAATTGGCAGGATTGTAAATAAGAAAACGCAATGGATGAATCATTGCCCGACAATCATGTGCTTCGCGTTGCCCCGATTGTTAACGCGCGGACAAACGCGCGGACTCGCGCGGTCTTTTCGCAAGACCACGACGACGGACGCGGGAAAGAAATCGCGCGACGTTAACAGCGTCGATCGTTCCGAGAGGAGGATTCAATAAACGCTATCACGCCCGGCCGTTTAACCTTTTCCCCGCAGGTTCAAGGAACCTTCGTACGGCCGTATCGCCGAGCGTCGTGTATCATGCACGCTGCGCGTGATTGCTTGACGTAAATAAATTGCCGATCCCCACGAAAATACTTTTGCGAGACGCGGCGAGATGCTGTGCGAATCCGTCGGGATCTTAACGATCCGCAAGAATCGTTTGCGTAGTGATATATTGCTGATTGATAGTTATATACTCCTATTGAGCCTATCAAGTTTTCTCAGGCCTTGCCTCGCGTCCGTGATATTCTTAGGATACATTTGTTGACGGTTCAATCGAGGATGTTCTTTTAAATCGAGTCTGCGAAGTTTGACCGTTCAACTCGTGGAACTTAAGAAGTTGCTATATTAATTCTGCAATCTCATATCAATCTCGTAACATTATGTAAAATCGAACAAGACTTTTTAAAAAAATGCACGCATAAAGCCCGTATCAGACTACGGATTGGGATTGAGATTGGATTGAAATTTAATCAATCAGAATAGAGAAAACTGATCTCAAGTTTAGTGAATTTTGCTCTGATTGATCAAATTTCAATCCAATCTCAATCCCAATTCGTAGTCTGATACGGGCTTTAGGGATACAGTTTCTCACAAATGCGATTGAGATATTATCGCTGCAATGTGTTTCGGTCTGACTGTCTTACAGTCAGCCGATGTTATGTCAGCAGACACGTTGCTCTCGTTCTCGTATTATACTTATTTTCATATTATTGCATTGTTGATTCGTACATTCACTTTTCCTAGGAACAATCGTGTATCGTCTGTGCTCATTATACGAATGTGCGCATTTTCGTTGTTATTATTGTCAATTTGCCAAATGCCATTTCAAGGTAGATTATAGTTGCAAACTACGAAACGGTGAATGAACTGCAACAAATGTGATGTGAGCCAGGAGAATCACAAGAAATCACGTATTTTGCTTGAATAAATATACATTTGTAATATAAATAAAAACGCAAGTGTGTCGTATACGTTCACTATTCTCAATTATTAGGAAACAAATGATAACATACGATGTAAAATGGCGAATGGATATGCACATAGCTAATTGGAGCACTTTTATTAAATAGCTTAATTATGTTCCATAATAACGCATAAATGTTAGATAAAAATATAATTAGGCGAAAAGTGCATTCTATTGCAGAAGAAACTATAGTAATTTTAAATGGCGACAGACGATATTTGAACGATCAGATCAGCTGAAGTACTAAGCTAAACTCGACTTTTGTGGGACGATAACTTCTATTGAATAATACATTTACCTGAGATAGCTACTCCATGTATAAGCCTATTTTGCGCCAAATTCTATGAATCCTTCGACGAGAAAGGGAGCTTTTGCTTGTCACCGTACGAGCTTATCCCTTGTGTCTGACCACAGGAATTTTTATCTACTGCCCGAACGCAGTCGGACTGTCAAGAAGTTCCCGCCACTACTGCCGAGCTCTCGTGTAATTGGTTTAAAATAATTTGTCGCCGTTACACCATAATTATGTACAATTTTTTGCAATACATATATAATAGGAATATATAATCTCTTTGAATTATTCATTCGCCACATCCACATTATTCAAAAAGCAATACTCCAAGAAATACATTTTAAATATATATTTTTTCACATTATTTACATATATTTATATGTATACGCTACACATATTACATATTTTTATTACAATTTACAATCAATTTGTATTGTTAAGATCAATTGTGGTAGACATTTAAAACAAATATATTGAAGTGCATAATAAGAAACATAATTTATTCGTTGATGAAATGAATTTTATTGTTATCAACACTCTTATATACGCGTCGCATTTCCAAAATTCTTGCCAATTTTGTTTAAATAATTTACCGTGTTTGAGTAATTTTAGGACTTGGATTTATCCTATACGATTTTTAATTAAATGAAGCAATAGAATTTATTATATCAAATATAGTAGCTAGAGGCATGCTAGAAGTATTCGGTATGAGTTTGAACAGAAACATTACTGCTAGTATGAAATTGACTACCATTTTGACAAGACACGACAACATTTTCTCTTCGTACTCCAAAAAGCAGTTGTAAGACTCCGTCATTGCAGTTGTATATTCCTCGGGAGCAAATTGGTTAATTATTTTGAACAATATGTAAAACATTTTTTTAATATATTTCATTATGTCTGTGTCCATCATGTCTGTAAGGCTTTTTGTTATCGATTCCTCCAGATTGCTTGAGATTAAATCTGTGGTCTTGTCCGGCGCTGAAAAGTGTCGAAATCTCATCAATCCTACATGATAGCGATTTAAAATATAACGAATAATCTAGTATTTAGAATTTTCGATTGGAACAGATCTGCAGAGTTTTTTATGTACTAAAATTTATTTTATTAAAACCCCTTTTTTATTAAAAATTTATTTTTTGTTGAAATGAATAAGAAAACTTGTTGATACAAGACATTATATTATGCAATACACTTGATGGGAATATAAATTTAAAATTTTCTAATTTTTTAAATGTGTAATTCCATGCAACTTAAATTGAACAAGATACAAAATAAAATAATTTACGTTACAGTTTTTATTCGCAATTAAATATATGGCAAGCTACATGCCACAATAATGTCTCAGTGATTATTTATTATTATACGCTATTATTATATTACTATAATTACTTCATTTTATGTTTTATTCGGATTAATTTGCATGGTATGTATTACATAACAGATTGCGGCAGAAAATTCGTGATAAGTGTTATACATGATGATTATTATTTTCTCTTGAACTTACCAGCTTGGACATAGACCACGACGAAAGCCAAGATCAACAGATGTAAATTCTTATACCCCATGCTTCTAACTAGTGTTACTGACAGCATATACGAGCGCAACTTACTGCACTAATGGGACCCATGTCGTTTACTCGGCGGTATTTATAAGAATGTCGATAATGCAAAACAATTACTAGCTTATCGCTTGCGTAGATATACGTACTTCTGTACTTCTCATAGGTTCGTGCATTTCATGCAAAAATACAAGTTTCGCGAAATGCGATTTTGTAAAATAATTTTCTACAAAAAAAAGTTCAAATTTTTTAAAGCAGTTTCATGAATTTGTATTCATGAATTGTAAAGATTGCAAAAGATTGATAATTAATTGTTCAGATTATGATGCGCAATGAGTTAAAATACTCTCTAAATCTGTATCAGTGTAAAGTATGCCACTTTTCATGAATCATGACATGACGTGGCATACTTTACACTGATATCAGTGACTATTCAATAGGTGTTTTCGATTTACATCAAAAATCAGATAATTCTCACTTGTGACGTCGTTCTATTTTTTTTGGCAATTAATGAATAATAAAGACAGAATGACATCACAAGTGAGAATTATCTGAGTTTTGATGTAAATGGAAAGCAACTATTGATTCATAGTATTATTCACTGATTCAGATTTAGAGAGTAGATTCAAAGTTTTCAGTTTTCTTGTCAGATCTATATTTTATGTGAAAAGATGCGCGTTTCAATCTGTTTTCTTTTAATTAGAATTTCTAATTCTGATCATTCAATCTTTATATAATAATATCGTGATCAAAGAGATTTTATGATAAAGTTCTAATAGATTATTTTTTAATATATCAGGGGAAAATGACAAAACTTTTCTTATGCACGTATTTTCTTCCGTGATTTTATAACGAAAATAAACGTGAAATTTGATTGTTATTCTTATTTGGAAGTTAAGGAATGTTGCAAATAATTGTCACGCGTGCAACGTTGAATATCGTTTCTGACTCATTCTTATCATTAACCTTATCTGCATTGTACAATTTTTTTATCCTTACTTGTTAGTGACAGAGAAAAAAAGAATTCGAAGGACAGGCATTCCATTAAGTAATAACCGAGGTAATAACGAATAATAACATTTATTTACACGTGACATATTGCATCATTTTACTATTTCTTGATAAAATTTTTAAAAACGATTGTACAAACATGAGGAAAATTTGTCCCAGAAATTTTTATTTCGTTCGTTTTAAATATTTTTCGTCGGAGTACTGTTTTTATGCTTTCATATAAAACGTTTAAGTTTATCCAAATTATTTAATTAGAAATCTCGAAGATTGCGGTGGGAATCGTACTTGACTTTAAGAATCTCAGCGCAATCTACTCCTAAAACTTTTCATAAAATATACCTCAAACTTGGCTAGATATAATATTGATCGGGAACTTTAGTTTAGTAGCTCCTCCTTAACTCAACTTTTCGAAAATTTTAAACGACAGGAATCACAAATCTAATTTTCAGTGACTTTTCTACGTACGCCGTTTTAAACTTGGAAGTTAGGATTGATCGGATCCATTCGTTTTTCTTATCGACGATGCAAGGCTTCCGCTTGTCCGATAAGTTTGAAAGAACCAGTTCGCTTTTCGTAAATAATTTTTATGAAAATTACCGCGGAACAGATAATGTTAGACATGTAATTAGTTACATATAATTAAATTACAAAATAATTCAGCATCAATCTCCCGTTCGCGCGTTCATGTTTTATTTTCAGAATCATATTTTCACGAATTTGTTCTGGTGAAATATTTGTTTTGCATAAACATTATTTTCCGTTATTTTAAATTTTACAGAGAACTTTGCAGAGAGCGCACATTTCTGATAATGATAATTCCCGAAAACAAGTTGGATAATAGTGAAGTCTAATATCAAGTCGATCTCTTCGTTGATCGGCGCAAAAAGAGAGAAACATCTCTGAGCATATCCCAAAATCCATAGCATTGGCATCTCGCCAAGGAGACATGGCGCCTGGAGTTGTAACGCTCTATATATGAACTTATTCCTTCAGTGTGATACTTATTTATTTTTAACATAAGATATTCTCGATAGCTGCGCCTTCGACATTCTCGTTAAAATATAGTTTGCTCTATAAATTAAATAAGGAATAGGCTACAGATTTATTCGCGAAGGGCTTTTTATTATTAATTACTTTTATACTTCAATAATTGACGATATCTTCACGATAATTGCTTTTATTAACACTAAAACTACCGAAGAGGTCAAAATGAAAAAAAAGAAAAAGAGAAAACACAAATTTGTAGAATTAATTATCTGCATATGTCAATAAAAGTCAGAGAAAATTTCCGAAATTGTGATATTTAAAAAATGAATAATAATTATTTTAGAAAATGTCAAACAAGTCATTTTGACCGTTAATTGGTAATGCTAGTGTTAAAAAAAATATATTTTACGAACAGACCTCGTCCAAATGGAGATCCATAACTGAAAAAATAATTTTGTATAACGTTTTCATATATTTATACGACAGATAAAAGTGATGCGTATGAAAACTGCTTTGAGCGTGAAATCCGCCGTAAGCGTGGGATGCAATTGACTCTGATTGCATTCGATTGCGCGCAGCATAGCTGAGGAGTCAGTCAAAAAACCGCCACAGGTGCATATTGCACATATCTATCGTCTCGTTCGTATGCAAATGTCGGGTCAGCTGCTTTTATTATTACGAGCGATATCTGTCGCGGCTTGTTGTATTAGCTGATCGTCATTTATCGTCTATGCATTCCATTCCACTCTCGTGTGCAGTATGTGTTGCAGGCAGCGTAAACGCATGCACCATATATCGATAAACGGTTTCTATGAACATAGCGGTATTAAAAAAAATTCCGCTTATGTTTCTGACATCATCGTATGCAAAACGGCGTGTGTTCAACGACAATAAGTCTTATTATAACAATAATACCTTATGATAACGTAACATAAGAGGCTTTATTACGGGTATTTACCGTCAAACGTATTGTATTTTGGTTGTATATGTAGAACGATTAGTTATGTAATACGAAAAAAAATGTGCTGAAATCGCACTGCGATCGGAGAAATATCCTTGCGTATCTTCCTTGCTATATAGCCATGCTTTATCTCGTATTTACATACGGATTTAACCAGGAGAAAGGGGGAAATATGAATTGGCGTGTTGTGTAAGAAACGACCGTATCTATAGTCTACTTTAAAAGCGAATCTCGCTATTCTTATGTTTATTGCACTGCGCAGATCGTGATATCATTGTTTAAATAAATGATATGAATTTAGATGCACTATAGAACACTTTTAACTTCTTAATTTCTATCCAAATAAAATTGTTAACGAGCTATTATTTTTTTTTAAATATATTTATTATATATATTTTTTTTTTAAGTAAAAGGTATAACAAAGGTAAAACTACGTATGTTGAAGATTTAAATGTTTTAAACGTGAATTATATTCTAATAATATAAAAATATTCTTTTTATTTTATAAATATACAAATTTTTTCCAGATTTTTTCATATCATGGATTTAATATCTCTTTTCAGTATATTATTAGTTTTCGGTATATTACTGCATTTGAGACATTCATATAATTGTAAAGTTGCATTTTTTCTCATTTAGCATCCAATATTCTTATCGCGTTACGGTCGCGTTTTTCCCCGCGAATCGTTCTGTTTAATAATGTCGATAAAACGGAATGATTCGTTGACAAGTCGTCAAAAGCGTATCAAGTTTATTAATTATCGCGAATAACCGAACCGCGAACATTTATTGGTAACAATACTTGTCAAAAATCAGTCGTAAAAACGATGACATAATTTCCATCTATAAAAACGAGGAACCGCAAAAAGTTCCTAAGTAGGTCGACCGCATAACTTGGGAATTGAATGAAGGGCGCGCAATCTTATCGCGAATTTGCGTATCTTTTTTCGTCCGAGAGACAAGTATTTTGCATGCCGAGATTGCTCAATTTGCGAAAGCGCACGGAGAGTTCAGAGCTTGATTTACGACCTGCGACACGCGCTCGGTGTAATTTGTTTAAACGTCGATAAAATTATTTACGTTATCATGTGTACATCTAGATTTTGCCTTTTACTTTGTTTGGCTGCGGTATTTCGGTATATAGGAATGCGAGCCGTCTCGAATTGCGTGGTTCTTGATGAGCCATTATAGTCGAACAAGTGGCGTCCGCTTTCGATCGAAGAAGAATGTCTGACAGGTGCGGAGAAAAGTTCGCGGAAAATAAACCGGACTCACTTCTCTGAAGCAAGAAATTATTTTTCCCTGTCGCGTATAGGAGGATGTTACCACTCCCCCAATTGATGATTTGAAATTGATGCTGACCATTCGCTAAGGTGATTCGAAGATCGTAGAAAGAACAGTTAAATGATGATGAGCAGATAAAGTTGGTTATATACCTCTCCGAGTCTAATCCTTCAGAAAAAAGATTTTTCTCTTTGTATCTCGTCAATGTCTCTCTTGAAAGCAATTTTTATCATCAGAACGTCCCTAAAAGATATTTCCGTCCGTTATTTTCGTAGCTAATATCTTACACGGATTTCAATCGTGCATAAACGTGTTGAAATTATTTTAGATAACCGAGCCATCGGCTTGTAGATATCATTATCATAAAAGACTTTTACAGACTAGAGATAACGGGAGCGGCAAATACGCGGTATATGACGTAAATGTTACTTGACGTACTCTCGGGGAGAAGCTTTCATTTGTAGATACGAGCGCTCATCCCGGAAACAGATTACTGTAATTATCTTTATGGTACATCGATTTATTACCATCATCTGCGTTTTCGTATCGTTCTGCGTGCGAACGCGCGCGGGTCAAATGTATATACTTGAACCGAACGAGGATGTGTGCAGCTTTGGTATCGTGACACATTCGCGTCCCTGAGGCACGACTATCATCGTATTACTTGTATACGCGTTGTCTGCAAGATGCATTATCGATTGCATTATCGGATAGAAATGATCAAATAATGCTAATTAATCGACGTCGTAATTTATACATATAATGTATATCACGTTATTTGTCTTACAGCTATAATTTTTGCATGCAGTATACACCAAGTGAAAATTAAATTGTT